TTGTTTGTTTTCTTATTGTTGTCTTAAGACCTCTTTGTATATTACCACATGTGTATTGAAAATATTTTCTCCCAGTCTGTGGCTTGTCTTTAATTTTCTTAGCAATGTGTTTTGCAGAGCAGAAGGTTTAATTAGCTTTCGTAAATTCCAACTTATATTTTCTCTTTCATGGATTATGCATTTGGTGTTACCCACACAGATTTTTATACTGTATTCTGGTGCCATTTACTGAGTTGGCAATTGTGGAAGAACTGGAAGGAAGCAAGCAAACAAAAAGAGTTCTGTGTGGCACTGTCAGCGCGGGGGCACGGGGAGTTCTGCAGGGTGAGGTATGGGCGAGATGGTCTGGTGATGTGTGCAGCGGAGATGTGCGGGCCCCAGATGTGCGGATCAGGAGATGTGCGGGTCTGATGTGCGGGTACCCAGAGGTGCAGATCGGAGATGTGGGGGTCCGGAGATATGCGGATCAGGAGATGTGCCAGTCTTGAGATGTGCGGATCAGAGATGTGGAGGTCCCGATATGTGTGGATCCGGAGATGTGAGGGTCCCAAGATGTATGGAGCAGGAGATGAGGGAGTCTGGAGATGTGCGGAGCGGAGACGTGGGGATCAGGAGATGTGGAGGGCCAGGAGATACGCGGGTCCGGAGATGCGCAGATCAGGAGATGGGCGAATCGGAGATACGCGGGTCCAGAAATGTGCGGAGCGGAGATGTGCGAATCAGGAGCTGTAGGGGGTCAGGAGATGCACGGGTCCAGAGATGCGGGGGTCCGGAGATATGTGGGTCTGGAGATATGCAGAACAGAGATGAGCAGATCGGAAATACACGGGTCCAGAGATCTACGGTTCCGGAGATGCACGGGTCCGGAAATGCGCGGGTCCGGAGATGAGAATCTGAAGATGTGTGGATGGGAGATGTGCAGGTCCGGAGATGCGCGGGGCGGCGATGCGCTGATCGGAGATGCTCGGATCAGAGATGCTCAGATCGAAGATGTGGGAATGAGGAGATGTGCAGGGCGGAGATGTGTGGATTGGAGACACGCGAGTCCAGAGATATGCGGGCCGGAGATGCGTGGGTCTAGGGATGCGTGATCTGAGATGTGTGGGTCCGGAGCTCGGGGTCAGCTCAGCAGCAGTCGGAGCGAGCATGCTGGCTTTGGGAGCACAGCACAACGGCAGCTGTAGGAGTGCAAGAGGGTGTGACCCAGAGGCAGGGCCCGGCCCTGCATGGGTATTCTGAGGTTTACGCCTCAGCATTAGATGCCTCATATGCTAAATCACATCCTCGTAGACCCGGTTCAGACACAGGATGGTGATGCCTGGACTATTCATCCGTCTCTCCTCTTTTTCCCCAGACACGCTTTCACCAGCTTCGAGCCCCTCCTCGGTGACTTATCCTGTGGTCCCCGGCAGCGTGGACGAGTCTCCCAGTGGAGCATTGAACATCGAATGTAGAATCTGCGGGGACAAGGCCTCAGGCTACCATTACGGAGTCCACGCGTGTGAAGGCTGCAAGGTAGAGGGGACCTGCAACAGGGCCCGGTGGCTGCCACCATCAACCACTTGTGGTTACTTTTATAGCAAACGGCAGTCATTACTGAGAGATTGCAGAAAGTCCCGGATAAGAAACTGACCTCAGGCCAGGCGCGGTATCTCACGCCT